AAAGCTGTGATAAGCACTGCATGGTGAGTATACCTCTAAATAAAGTGTAAGTACATAGTAACAATAAGATGAGTATTTAATGAAACACTATTGGTTATGTTGGGTTTTTAACATTACATTATAGAAGTTTATTTTACATTGCTTTTCTCTACAGTTTTCAAGCCAGAGGAACTGAGGCAGGCACTAATGCCAACACTTGAGGCCCTCTACAGGCAAGACCCGGAGTCACTGCCCTTCAGACAACCTGTTGACCCCATGCTACTGGGCATCCCTGTGAGTCTCAAATATAGTGCTCCCATTTCCTACATAGTTTGTCAATTACAAACACATTTAGCTATAATTTACTAACACCTGTAACTGTCCTTCTCCACAGGACTACTTTGACATTGTGAAGAATCCAATTGACTTGTCCACGATAAAGCGTAAGCTGGATACTGGTCAATACCAGGAGCCCTGGCAGTATGTGGACGACGTGTGGCTCATGTTCAACAACGCCTGGCTGTATAACAGAAAAACGTCCCGTGTCTACAAGTACTGCACTAAACTGGCCGAAGTATTTGAAGCAGAGATCGATCCTGTCATGCAGAGTCTGGGCTACTGCTGCGGACGCAAGGTGAGTCCCTGAAGAATTCAAATGGAAAAACACAATCATTTAATCTATTAATTTTTCAGATTTATCATAAACTACCTGATTGAACACATACAAATAATTTAAATATTTTCATTTGTTGTTTCCACAGTACGAGTTCTCGCCACAGACGTTGTGCTGCTATGGCAAACAGTTATGTACCATCTCCAGGGATGGTACTTACTACAGCTACCAGAACAGGTAACAGTGCATGCTTGGACAGTTGAGAGGTATAGATGGGTAAAGATGTGAGTGGACGTGTACACACCAGGTTAAATGGTAGTAAATGAGGTTGATTCTATCCTTTTAGCCTAACAGAAAGGGATTTTTTTACACATTCTTTGTGAATTATCACAATGTGATTGTTTAGTTTTCGTCTTGTCCTCATTCATATGCTTTAGCAGAGAACCTGCTCCTAAGCGCCCCCTGCAGTACAGAAATTGCCACTGCAGTGCAATCAATCCAAAGCAACATCATTTATTTATTAAAGATATTGGTGATTGCGAACTTCCAGCAAATGATTGTCTTGATGCCAATATAGCAAAAAGAACTATTACAAATTAAAATACTTTTATGATATTGCTTATATTTGTTAATTCACTCATCTCGTCTCCACTGACATGACTCATTCCGTCATTCTTTTCCCAGCTCACATGCATGATTGTAGCCAAAGTTGTTTTTTTTTGTTTTTTTTGTCATGTTGTCATGTAAGAGCATGCACATCAGATGTGGCCACATGTGTTTGTTGTTGTGGATACTGATTCATCCTGAGGAATGTCCTGATCGGCTTATTTGCCAAACAATTTGTTGTTTTCTGCTCAGTATTTGCCGAAACTGAGTCACATTTGATCAGGAATTTACTTTGATAACAAAGTTACATTGTGGATTTTTGTGTGTAGAGTGTAGAGAGAGTGATGACACTGCAACAATGAGTGAAAAAATGTGTTGGAAGAGTAACAGCAGTCACATCATGTTTAAAAATCTTCTCGTGTCAGTGAAGGAAAATAAGAGATATTCAACTTTAAAAAAGTTGAATATCTGTTGTTCTTCCTCTTTGTGAGGATTTTCTTTAGATGCTCCCAGTGCCTTTATATAATCTAAAAACCTGAAACATAACGACAACATAAATTAGGAATTATGTAAAATACATGCATTAGATTGGCCACATGTATACACATAAATAGGCAATAAATATTTGCCTTCTGTCTGCTCCCTTTGCAACCTTTATTAGGTTTGAGCAGCAGAGAGTTGAGAAACATCGCTCTCCTGAGAGGGTTTCAGTCTTTATTGCTTCAGTGCAGCAGCCCTTTTCTGCACTGCTTAAGTCAACTTGCAATGTTGGAAATGGTGGCATCACATCATAATGTTCAATTAATTTGGTTTTTTTTTTTTTTGCCTCAACTAAAGTTCACATAACAGTCACTGAAAGTTTTCACTTTAAAGTAAAGCTTTTTTTTCAAAAAAGAAGAGTACACCTGAAGTTTTTCACTGCTTCAGTGTTTTCTTTAATTTTTCATAACCACTAGTATAAACAACCACAAAGATTTGTCAACTCAGCCCTAGCTGAGGTCAGGATCAGGACATACCAATTTTAACATTTCTAGAATATAATTTTACCTATTATTCACTTTCAGTTTGAATGAGTGTTTTTCCATCATGATCATTTCATCAGTGACTAACGTACTTTTGCCTGTGTGTGTGTGTCCGTGTACGTTTTCCCGTCTGCCCTCTGCCCGTGCTCTGTCATTGCTTGTTGTCTTGTGTTCCATTCACTGCATTCTTCCGCCTGTCCGCCGGTTTGCCTGTGCTGCTACTGTGTGCGCTGGCTGCAGTTCACCCAAATATGGCCTTGTTGCCGACAGGTATCACTTCTGTGAGAAGTGCTTCAATGAGATCCAGGGCAACAGTGTGACCCTGGGAGATGACCCAGCACAGCCACAGACGTAAGTTTTACTAGGCATGTTGATTCTGCAAAAGGACCTGAATGTGTTGAAATAAGTTAAATCACAGAAATCATCATAATTCTGTTTTTTTATGATGCAGCATGATACAGAAAGATCAGTTTGAAAAGAAGAAAAATGATATGTTGGACCTTGAGCCGTAAGTATTGTATGAAGAGTGGAACTCACTCTTTTGATGACATTGATGCAACACATGGTTTCCTTTTGAAAAGGGATCAGTTATAGCCAACCTCTGTTTTTCCAGGTTTGTTGAATGTAAAGACTGTGGACGAAAGATGCATCAAATCTGTGTGCTGCACTACGATGTAATTTGGCCGTCTGGGTAAGTCTCACCGTGTGACAGAAAGATGTTCTATCCAATTGGAGCACTATTGCATTTGTCCATAAGTGACCATTTACCTGCAGGAACATGTTTGTTGGTGAAATTGTTTGGTGAAATTTAACCAGTTGTCTTTATTTTATTTTTCAAGTTTTATCTGTGAGAACTGTCTGAAGAAATCTGGAAAAACGAGAAAAGAAAACAAGTTTTCTGCCAAACGTAAGTTGTCTTAATGAGCAAAATCTAAAATTGGCAGTATTTATTTATTTTTTGTTAATTAAATTAACATAATATGTGTCATTGCTTGTAAAAGGGTTGCAGTCTACAAGGCTGGGGACATACATCGAGGACAGAGTGAACAAGTACTTGAAAAGACAGAACCACCCAGAGGCTGGTGAAGTGTTTGTGCGAGTGGTGGCCAGTTCTGACAAAACTGTGGAGGTTAAGCCTGGGATGAAGTCAAGGTAAGGATCTGGATTTCTCCCAGTCTCAGCCTTGTTTTCTTTCTCTGGTGTAGTTAAAAGTCTTCAATGCAGAAATTTTCACTAGCCATTAATTAAAAATATTAATCCGACAAAATATGTTTAAAAAACGTAGTAAATAACAACAAAAGATATCTATACAACGTCCTTAACTTTTTAGTCATTAATTATTTTATGTAGCTTTGTATAACTATAGTTTAAAGCATATCTCCTCTCCAACAGGTTTGTAGACTCAGGTGACATGCTGGAGAGCTTCCCTTATAGAACCAAAGCACTTTTTGCATTTGAGGAAATCGACGGTGTGGACGTTTGTTTCTTTGGCATGCACGTTCAAGAGTACGGCTCCGAGTGCTCTTTTCCTAATACCAGGTAAAACATTTGGGACCATGACCATGGCCATGACCATGACCTTGACCTTGTCAAATCCACGCTCCCTATGTTTTCCTCTACATTACTTCCTATCAACTGTCTTCTTACTTTCTTTGCAGACGGGTTTACATATCATACCTTGACAGTATTCACTTCTTCAGACCACGTTTGCTAAGGACTGCAGTCTACCATGAGATCTTAATAGGTTACCTGGAGTATGTGAAGAAATTAGGGTGAGTAAAGAGTGACTTTCATTTAGTATTTATGTAATGAATGCTTTCTATTCTTACGGCTGTCAAACGATTAAAGTTTTTAATCTGGCTGATCACAGCTGTGAAATATTTGTTTAGTCCTGATTAATTTAATTTTGTGTATAATGCTGGAACCAAAAGACAAATAGATAGATAGGTAAATTCAAATTATAGAATTATTAATATGGAAAAAGAATGTAAAGAATTAATTCCTTGTGTTGATGAATCTGTTCTTATTCAGGCAGGGGTCTAACCAGAAGTCAAAGCCCTAACACCTGCTGATTAATTAATCTAATTAATCTCATATCACAAGGTAATTTTGACAGCACCCATGCAAATTGACTAACTCGTTTGGTTCCACCTTTATAGGTACGTGACGGGTCATATCTGGGCTTGTCCTCCCAGTGAGGGAGACGACTACATTTTTCACTGCCACCCTCCTGACCAGAAGATCCCAAAGCCCAAAAGGCTTCAGGAGTGGTACAGAAAAATGCTGGAAAAGGCTTTTGCTGAGAGGATCATTCACGACTACAAGGTAAGGATGAAAGCTAAAGTAATCTAAAATGTAGACTACCGTCAATTGGAAAGGCTCCCTCTTGTGTATGGTATTTGTCAGTGAGTGTATTGGTACAATACATAATTTACTATTTTTTTCCATTCTTAAATAATTACATTTGTTTTCACATTACTGATTATGTTACTTTAAATTCTGTGTTTCTTGTGTTGCATTTTCAGGACATTTTCAAACAGGCCACAGAGGACAGGCTGACCAGCGCCAATGAGTTGCCATACTTTGAGGGTGACTTTTGGCCCAATGTGCTGGAAGAGAGCATCAAGGAGTTGGAGCAAGAGGAAGAGGAGAGAAAGAAAGAGGAGAATACAGCCTCATGTGAGACAACAGAGGTGAGTTCAAGACGAAAAAGTAAACAGGATTCACAGAAAGGAAAGCTTGTTATTGGCAAATACCCTGGTGCTCAGACCTCTCTCTGCTCTCTCTGGCACATTGGTTTTATCATCCTTAGTTCATTCTGTATAAAGCTTTCAGCAGCCACTCAGGCATTGTAAAATCAATGAGCTTCCGTGCATAACCCCATCTTGCCTGTTGTGCAACATGTTCCAGTCTCAACACCCATGTCCATTTATTTTAAGGGAGCTCAGGCTGACAGCAAGAACGCAAAAAAGAAGAATAACAAGAAGACCAACAAAAACAAAAGCAGTATCAGTCGAGCCAATAAGAAAAAACCTGGAATGCCCAATGTAGCCAACGATCTGTCCCAAAAACTCTACGCTACAATGGAGAAACATAAGGAGGTAAGAATCTATATCCAGTGCAGTCATATATTAGAAATTCCATAATGGATGTCTTTATGTTTTAACAAGAAAAATAAGCTTCACTGAAGAACACCGTCTCACCTTGTTTCCCTTCCCAGGTGTTTTTTGTAATCCACCTCCATGCTGGGCCGGTCATCAACACTCTTCCACCCATCATGGATCCTGATCCTATGTTGACTTGTGACCTCATGGATGGACGTGATGCCTTCTTGACATTGGCCAGGGACAAACACTGGGAGTTCAGTTCACTGAGAAGATGCAAATGGAGCACAATGTGTATGTTGGTGGAGCTGCACAACCAGGGCCAGGACAGATTTGTGTACACTTGTAATGAATGCAAACATCATGTGGAGACACGTTGGCACTGCACTGTTTGTGAGGTAGGAAATTGTGTCATTTTTCTAAACTCTATATTTTCACTGTTGTACTCGAATATATAAGTGTTAATCTTTACTCTTCCTCAGGACTACGACCTATGCATTAACTGCTACAACATTAAGGGCCACGACCATCAGATGGTTAAGTGGGGCTTGGGTATCGATGATGACAGCAACGGTCAGGGTGGTGAAGCCTCCAAGAGTCCACAGGAGAGTCGACGCCTCAGCATCCAGCGCTGCATCCAGTCCTTGGTCCATGCATGTCAATGCCGCAATGCAAACTGCTCATTGCCCTCATGCCAGAAGATGAAGAGGGTGGTACAACACACCAAGGGCTGCAAGCGCAAGACAAATGGTGGCTGCCCTGTCTGCAAGCAGCTCATTGCACTGTGCTGTTATCACGCCAAGCACTGCCAGGAAAACAAGTGTCCTGTTCCCTTCTGTCTGAACATCAAGCACAAAATCCTTCAGCAGCAGAAGCAGCAGAGAGTCCTTCAAGCTCAAATGATGCGCCGCAGAATGGCCACCATGGCTGGAAGGGGTATGCCCTTGCCATCTCCGCCTACCTCAGCAGCCCCTGATACCCCAAACTCCTTGCAGCAGCCTCATACACCGCAGACTCCACAGTCCATACCCAACCAGCCGCAACAACAACAACAGCAGCAACAGCAACCAAACCCTGCCGGTATGACCCAGGGCTTTCCCAACAACGGCCGCAACAGCCAGCCCACAACACCGGTCCCACAAGGCAAGCCAGGACCCCAGTCATCGCCTCTTCATCAGCAGCAGTCACCGCTGCCTAACATGTCCCTTCAACAGCAGCCGCAGCCTCAGCCAACGCCGCAGCAGCAACAACCACTGCTGGCAGCCCTAAAGGTGGCCAAACAGATAGAGGTGGCAGCCAAGGCAAGTCGGCAGAATTATGGGGTCATGAATGGGATGCCTATGAACCACCCGCGTATGATCGGGCCAATGCAGGGCCAAATGTCTGGTCAGATGCAGATGATGCAGAGTCCTCGGGGTCCCCAGGTGACGCAGGCAATGCAGGGCCAGTGGGGTCCAGGAATGCAGAATACCATGCAGAACCCCCAGGGTCATCAGCCACAGGTCCATCCTCAACAAGGCCCTATCGCTCCTCAGCAGACTCAGGGAACCGCCATGCCCCAGCAGACCCAGCTCATGCAGAGGCCCATGATGTCCCAGCAACAGGGTCTCCAGATGCCAGGGGTCATGCCTCCACAGGGCCCCTCACAGCCAGGCATGAGTCCACAGCAGCAAAACATGCCCCGAGGAATACCTGGCAACATTGCCCCGAGTGCTCTGCAAGAATTGCTACGCACGCTCAAGTCTCCCAGTTCTCCGCAGCAGCAACAGCAGGTCCTCAACATCCTTAAGTCTAACCCTCATCTCATGGCAGCCTTCATCAAACAAAGGACAGCACAGTGGCAGGGGCAACACACCCCGAACACAAAAGCCCGTCAC